GGACAAAATAACTTGGTTAAATGACTTCAATGTATTAGAACGACCCTCGGCTAAAACTTCAGGAAATGATCGTCTGCCGCATAATTTCTTTATTTCGTAGCTCACATTGACCACGCGATGTTTGACGCCACTACGACTCTATGACCTTTGTTTGTCCTGTTTTTACGTTCGATTTCACGTATGACGCGTGATTCTCGCAGTGAACGGAAAATGGTCAATTAGACGGCATGTTCGCTTTTAAATTATGAATGTATCCAACAAGTTATTAGGAATTCCCCCACCAGTCGAACTGAAGTTACGTGTGACCCGAAGCACTAAATCTCTGGAAAAAGAAAATCAAACTAATGTTTTTTTGTCAGGGATTTTGCTTTGGGATAGTTTAACAATCATACTATCTATCGGCAATAGCTTCGATGGTGTGAAAATGTTCTGCTTTTGTCGGTAGCCTTTCTGTGTAAATAAAATCCTAATATCTGAAAATAGCAAATTTAATGACACAAAATATATCAGAAATGACTAAAATGCAATCACAATGACTAAGGACCGACACATGAAGAGCTGTGGACATCTACCAGAAAACTAGGTATACCCAAAAACAGTACACTACTTACCACATGTGCCGTGAGGATCACAAGTCCAAAATAAAAAAGAAACACACTAAGTTGGATTAGAAGAAACTGTCTGTTCTTCCACAAATCGAAACAATAAATGATATTGAGAAATCTATAAACATATTTTGATATCTGAATACATTTCCGATTTATTGTTTTGTTTGCACATTCGTTTCGCTGAGACTGTGCCTCGGTATTGGAAGGTACGCTGCGGGCACTCTCCGTTTGACTCTCTGAATGTATGTTTTCCAAAGGCGATCCCTCCGGCATAAATTCATGCTTTTCATTTGTTGCTTTTATGGGACGAAATAATGTACCAGCAACGCAAATATTTAATGTTAATCCGCTAAGTATCATTATAGTGCCCCTCCATCCATATCTATTCAGCAAGCTCTGTGTCACTAGAGAGAAAACAAACATGCCAACACCATTGCCAGCACTGCCAATCCCAACAACAGTTGGTAGCCTCTTCTTGAAATATATGCTAACCATGACAACTGACGTCAGATGAGCGAACCCGTATCCAATGCCTGCAAATTAGTCGCCAATAACAGAATAATTAATAACAATCAGGCGTCATTGACTGGGTTGAGTTTTTTGAGGTTGCAGTTTCGGTATGTCATCGAACACATAAACAAGGCCAGGTATGATTCACCTTTTTCCATATTACATACACACTCGAATTTATATAAACTATTTTGATTTAATACTTGCCTGTCATGATGCCGAACGTGACGTACATCTGGGACAAGCTGGTGGAGAAAGAACTCAACAGAAGTGACAAGGATGAAAAGACACCACCACAAATAACGACGGGTCGATGACCAAAACGAGAAGTGAGCGGAACACTATAAAGATTCGTAGACACCATCACTATATATGTTATACTACCAACAAGAGCTGAAAAAGATGAAAGTTTTTTTTTTCTAATGAACATACAATTATGCACCGACTGTATAACTGATCGGTGTGGCTATTTCTATTAACTGACTTCTTCCACAGCATACATTTTGTAAAAATATAACGTTTTAGAGAAATGTACTATACTCTGAACAAATAACTATAGAACCAAGCAGTTGTCGCTTTGAACAAAATTGACTTGAATTGGAAGCTGGAAGCCGTCTAATGTGGTCTATCTGTGATTTCTCCAAGTGTGTATATTTTTGTTTCTACAGTCACTGTGTTATTGTTATTTGCCAAGGGAGTAGAAGGTCCCCACACTCTACGTTTCATAACCATTATTATTATACATCTGTCACCGTAACGCCATTTACAGCTTGCCGTAATTTTGCGGCATTTTACGGGGTGTTTTCATCCTACCATATTAGGAAACGTGAATTCCAAATATGGAATGATTACGCCCGTAAGCGTCCTCTAATAATAAAAACAAACATGGCTGCCACCAGCGTTTGACCGGACTCTACACAAATAAGTTCGCTGATTCTGTTCTAAACATTTTGGATTTCGACATTCCCATGGTATATCATTGGAAGGAAAAGATAACGTTTTTTAACAATGGGTGGCACCACCATAGGCGTTAACACATTCACTGTTATGTTTGCTACATTAAGTTGAGAAGCACCAGGAAGAAAGACATAATAATGATGTAATGATGAAATAATTATAAAAAATAATGACATAACTTACATTGGTGAAATGATATATAGATATTCATATAATGAAAAAAATGTAATTTTGGCACCTAATCAACCCGATAGGATGGAAATACAAAAGCTAATGTTTTCGTTTTTAATATAACAATTGGACGTACGTGGAGACATGTCACCTTTAAAACATGTTCTCAATCACGTGAGTCATCATATACCATTGCTATGATATCAAGATCACCTGTTTTGGCACCCGATTCTCCAAATGCGTCCAGTAATGCCACGTATATCACCCCAAACGCCATGGTAACACCAGCAGTAAGAGAATGCACTATAAAAGTACCAGCTACAACCATCCATCCCCATCCACAATCTGGTGGAGAGGGGGAGTTGTCTGTTTCCGACATGTGCACGCGTTTGCTGTAGAACAAGATGAGAGAAAACAAAGAGATACAATAACATCTGATTCATAGATATTACTAGTTACCTGTCATTGAGAATCAAGACTTAGAAACTACGTAGTTCGTCAATGGCGTGCAGCTACAACACATAACATACTTTCCGTGCATACGCACGTTTAAATATTTCTGAGGTGTAAGCAATTGTAATTGGAGTTAGGGAATTGGAGTTGAATTGGAAGCTGGAAGCCGGGAACGTTGGTCTATCTGTGATTTCTCCGAATGTGCATTATTTTGTTTCTACAGTGTTAATGTTATCTGCCAAGGGAGTAGAAGGTCCTCCACTATACGTTTCACAAACATTATTCTATCACGGCTGGGGGAGGCGGAGGTTATTGTTAACGTCCTTTAACAATGGTTGGCACCTCCATGTGTTAAAACATTTACCAGGAAGATGGGAGGATAAAGCGATTGTATAAATTGCCTGGTTATGTAGGTCTCTACTATAAAACAGACAATTCGATTTCCAAACGATGAAAAACGCAAGACTGCTAATCTTCGAAATAGATTAGTGCCAGTCCATGACAGTACCATAATACACTTGATATATTCAGTGCATTATTCATTACATTCATAATCTCTTGTATATGTATTTGACCTGATTTTTTCAAACAACAACCACTTTTAAAGCGGAAGGGTTGTCACCTGCGCACGCGCGGGAATTGAGTCCCAAGCGACGATAACAGCGCACGTTAAAGACGCAAAGGCTCATGGGTAGACGCGTGTTTGTATACAACGATACGCTATGGCCGTCTGCCGCATGCGACGACCTCCCCCCGCTTTAAATTAATAGATCTATCTATCTATCTATAACATTCTAAAATTATTTAACAATCGTTGTATCTGGCCACAATTGTGCATTTTAAACCAATATCCGAAATGACTTAATCGTTGATGTTCAGTATACATGGCTGCAACAGTACACTAGAATATAACATAGTTTAATTAATATGCACTTTCAGAGGTAATCCATATTTTAAAATCCTCTCTATGACGAGTTTTAAATATAACATTAGCTACCCTTATATTTGCAAATTCTGTTTTGCGCAGCTCGATTCCGCAAAACTACTGACAGTGTGAACACAAGGCAACAATATAGATCAATGTAGAATAGTTGAAATAGGGAGTTAATGTGAGTATAAGTTACTTTATTGTAGGTGTTGTGATCTAACACCACCTGTTTAATACACCTGTCGTATGCCCATTGCTGGAGTGGTCGGACTGTTGAGTGAATAGCATCTGTATCGGTCATTGAAATTAGTCTTCTCATTCGTGCATAAATCTCTGTATTTTTGTAGACAGAATAGCTTACATAATCATTCGACGAAGCGATTCTTGACAATTCAATCTACATGTACTCAAAACAAAATGACGGATTGGTTTCACTCAATGACGAGTGTGATTGACATGGTAGTATAAAATCACATAACAATATTATTAAATATATATTATAAAAATGTAGCATGTGCACAATAATGTGAATGTGCACATAATATCTCTCTGGAATATATATGCACCACATAACGGCGTGCATGCACCACGAAATTGCATTTTTGCATCACATCACAAAGTATAGTGGCGTGCCAGCACTACATATTTGCACATGTGTATGCCAATCGAAGGATTAATATATAGAACAGCCAACGCCCAAAATGGAATTTGGTTTAATATAACACAGTGACAAGTGATTATTTCACCAAACGACAATCAACTAGTCAACTGTTGGCATGTTGAAGGTGACTTGTGTGTTCTAGTATATATCAAACAAATACTGTGCATTCTATGCATGCAGCTAGCTACAAAACTCTTGGTATAACAGTTTCGACAATGTATTTTTTTAAAGCCTGTGTGCTACAGACCTAGCGAATGAGCTGGTAAATATATACCTAAATAAGTAGGAAGGGGTGAGATATTGCTGTGAAAGTGTGGAAAACGT